CATTCAACATCTTTTAAAGGTTTTTACTCTGTTTTTTTATTTCCACAAAGTTACTTAAGAATTTTTTAAATTTATGGATTAAGGGGCGCCTGGGTGGCTCAGTTGGTTAAGCCACCCATGATCCCAGGGTCCTGGGATCGAGCCCCACATCGGGCTCCCTGCTCTGCGGGGAGCCTGCTTCTCCCTCTCCCACTCCCCCTGCTTGTGTTCCCTCTCTCGCTGTCTCTCTGTCAAATAAAAATAAAATCTTTAAAAATAAATAAATAAATTTATGGAATAAGAGTTTATAATCTTGCATTTCTCATATATCTGTAGAAATCACACATGTATGTAAATCTAATATATGCATATGGATCTGCCTCAAAGCCACTAGCATAAACATCTAAATTGACTGTACTCTTATCTCTAAGAATTTTCACACTGAGAGTAATAGTTCTATCATTTTGTTATACATCTAAAACTAGTAACATTGTATGTCAATTATACTTCAATTAAAAAAACAGTACAAAATGTAATGGTAACCAAGTTTAGTATCAAATTACAATTCGATAGCTGGAATGTTCCTTGATGCTCTCAGAAACTATACCAATTCACTAAGGGTCACGTGTTAGACAAAAGGAATGTTAATAAAGCATAAGATGTGAGCTTATTAAATCTGTACGCATTTCACTAGTAGCAAAACAATTTTTTGAGGGCTAACCTAAGGATGAAATCTGATATCCAAAAATAAATAAAGCAATATATTCACTTTTATCTAATCTTAACAGAAAACGAAGACTAATGAACAGAAACATACAGATTTTCAAACCAAATAAACCATGAAACTGCTGTTCTTTGTCTAATATATCATGATCTACACAAACTCTGATTTTAAAATTATCAAATTTGAAAAAACTCACCCTAATTCAACAAATAAACTGTTCAAACATCGAGTTAAAAGTTAAAAGCTCCATGCACAGAGACACTCTAATGCAAAAGCAGGAGCATATTCCTATACTTAAAGGTAGAGAAGATACTTAAGCACCCGGTAATCATCTCGTTAGTACACTCCTACATGTCCACAGCAATAGGCAGACCAGTTATAAGAGTCTGAATCTAGAAGATGCAAGTGTGAAAGAAACAGTGAAATCTGCTTTTCCACTGTCATTTAAAATCACCTATTTGTAAATTCTAAGTACTATTTATAAAATATATTCCCTTACAACATGCTTTAATTCTTCCTGACGATAGTTTTAAAAGAGGAAAGTCCCAAAAACCAAAAAATTAAAATTGAAATACTGCTAAAAATTAAGAAACACTTGCAAAGGGCGCCTGGGTGGCTCAGTCGTTAAGCGTCTGCCTTCGGCTCAGGTCATGATCCCAGGGTCCTGGGATCGAGTCCCGCATTGGGCTCCCTGCTCGGCAGGAAGTCTGCTTCTCCCTCTCCCACTCCCCCTGCTTGTGTTCCTGCTCTCGCTATCTCTCTCTCTGTCAAATAAATAAATAAAATTTAAAAAAAAAAAACCACTTGCAAAGAACTGAAATTAAAAAAAAAAAATTTAATAGGGCGGTTAGTTGTGCTTCCTTATATGTACTTTACAAAATCAATACTTTTACTGCCCGGTGAGTTTGAGACAAATCAATATACTTTAAAATACTCTTTGTGGCTCTTAAGTCTTCATTTTGTGCCTTAACAAAAGCTGACATTCATTCGTAATGAAGTCTTTTCATAGTTACACAGCTATTTCATGTCTCTTTTGAAGACATATTAAACCTTTGGGTGCTCAATAAAACTGACCAATTAATTGACTCTATCGTAAAAACCCGAGAAGCTATTCCCAAATATTTACAACAAAGAACAGCCAAAGTCAAAATGAGTTACTAGTCTACCCAATATGTTTTCTTACTTTACTAAGTTGAAAATTTTCTTCAAATGGGTCCTTTCAAAGCAAACTACAAAAGACGTACCACAAGGGGTAAATTCTTGATACTGCCATTCAAATTTACATAAAAAGAATGATAGATCTACAGCAATCACTGTGACAGAATATCGGAACAGGGTAAGACAGCAGAGAACTCTGGGGTCAAACAGAACTCAGTATGAGTTCTTGCTTCATCTCTACTAACTTTATGACCCTGGGCAAGTTAATAAAACCTCTCTGGGTCTTAATCTCAATTATCAAATGGAAACACAGGGCCAAATTACAGGCTGTTGTGAGCCCTAAATTAGATAACATATATAAATAGACTGCTTAGCACAGTACCTAGATCATGATACTCAATAAATGACTGTAATTACTATGAAATATTTAAGAATCTATTTTCAGTTTAATAATACTTCCAAATGATGTAGATGATTAAAAGGAAAAATGTAAAGATTCAATAAAAGATTTTTCTTTCATTTAACTTGATCATCCTGTACATGAATGCTTTTCAAACTTCAGGTCCTACCCATTAATGGAATCTGAAATCATTCAGTGGTTCTTAACCAGCATTTTTAAGTAAGATAGAATAAAAATATAAGAATGAATTGCACATAGGAAGTTTAAGCTTGATTCATGAATTTCTTTTAAACATATTTGTAATGTGTCTGTACACTGGATGGCAACATAAAATTCACCTCTTACTGTGCCAAAAAAAAAAAAATTAAAAGCCACTGCTTTAAGGGCGCCTGGGTGGCTTAGTCAGTTGAACATCAGACTCTTGGTTTCGGCTGGGGCATGATCTCGGGGTCATGAGATGGAGCCCTGTCTGGGGCTCCCCGCTTGGCAAGAAGTCTGCTTGAGATTCTTTCCCCTTCCTTCTCCTTCCCTCTCTGCTCCTCCCGACCCCTCGCACGTGCGCTCTCTCGCTCTAAAATAAATAAATAAAATCTTTTTTTAAATAAATAAATAAAAGCCACTGCTTTACATTATAATAGTGGGAATAAAAATAATTAGTTGACACTGAATGCTTTGTTTGTGCTATGCACATACATGATTTCACTTGATCCTTGATTTCACTTGATCCAAGATAGGTACTATGATTTCCACCATTTTACAGATGAGGAAACTGAGACTTAGAGATATTTAGTCACTTGCCAAAGATGCAGTGCTGGCAACTTGTTAATCCAGGGTTCAAATTTAGTCACCTGACTCTAGAACTTGCACATTTAACCATTTCAGTAACTACTAGGTTGTAAAATATAAGTTTTCCTTATATAAAAGTTATTCAAAAGTTTGACTTTCATGAAGCCTAATTTGAGAGTGATTTTCTGGAGTACACTATATCTTGAAAAAGGCAGTGTGGTTCAGAGGTGAAAACACTAGGCATGAGATCCAGCTTCTGTCCCTGGTATTGCTGCTTCAGTGGCAAAGAGTTGGCAAGTCATTTAATCTCACCGTGTCTGGATTTCCTCACCTACAAAACAGGAGTGATAATATCTGGCCTGCCTTCCCATAGGCCATTGTGAGAAAGCACATGTACATACAACAAGTGAAATGCTTCAGCGTGCTACGCAGTTATCTGAGATGATCATTAATACCACCCAAGGGGCCCCATTCTTTATAGAAACATACATCAAAAAAGATCAAAAAAGGAAGGTCACCAGGCTTTTATAAACTATATGTGGAAACACTGTGCACAATTTTGACACACAGGAGGCCTTCAGTAATTGTTCATTAAACTAAAAGAAGCAAATCAATTCAATCTGCATGCATGTTGTATCCATTTTTATTTTTCATTAATTCATTCCTTCCGTAACTATTTATTGAACACCTACTATAAGCCACGTTAGAAATGTGGACTACAAAAAAAGACTATCAACTGTCCCTTACCCTGGAGAATTTCATATTAATTTCAATTAATTTTTGTAAAATACTTCTTCATCCAGCAATAATAGCTTACATTTATTATAGTGTGTTACAGTTTAGAAAAAAATACACGGTAGCTTTTGTTTCCTGCACCAAATGCCTAAGTATGTCAAGTCAGTATTACTATTTTCTTGACTCCAAATTTAGTGCTAAGTACTAAATCTTTTTTTTTTTTTTTTAAGATTTTATCCATTTATTTGACAGAGAGAAACACAGCGAGAGAGGGAACACAAGCAGGGGGAGTGGGAGAGGGAGAAGCAGGCTTCCCGCTGAGCAGGGAGCTTGATCCCAGGCCCCTGGGATCATGACCTGAGCCAAAGGCAGACGCTTAACGACTGAGCCACCCAGGCGCCCCAGTACTAAATCTTTAGAGTGAAAGTTTCTCAGTGTCAGAGATGACTGTAAAAATAAGGTTTTGAAGAAAATACATTTTAATACTGGAAAGGGGCAATCTAGTAGCACGATTTTTTCCCTTCCCATTTCTGAGTTGAAGTAATCCATATCACCTACAGAAGATGCATTTTTCTTTTAAAAACCTGCCTTTGAAATTTCTTTTCTTACAGGCAACTTTCTGTTGAATATATTGAACTAGGATTCAGTTTTCTCATAGAATAAAGGAGGCAGTAGTGAAGGTGTATTTCCCTTGTTGACATTTTAAAATAACTCAAAACTGATCGTTGTATTCGGATTCCCGAGTCACATACAATACCAAATAATTGTTAGGCATTTTATATATAATTCAACAACTAAGATAGGTGATTTTTACAGGTGAACATCGATTTACTGACAACTTAATGAATTGAAATTTGCTACAAGATATTTACTAAGAACCGTTTACTAAAATTGCCTTATCCTTTGTATTCTAACCACTCCCTCTCCATCACCACCACCCCCAACATTCTCACACTCCCTCACCTACACCAGATCAGTTTCCAGGCCATTATTCGTAAAACCATATTAAAATTTCACAACACATGGTCCTAGTTACTAGGTTCCCCCCCCTCCCCTCCACCTACTGAGTCGATATGTCTTTATATATACATTCTTTCTTAAAAATCCAGAATTCAGAAAACATTACGATGCCTCTTTTCTGAGAACAACAAACATAAAATGTAAACGTCTGCCCTTCTGCTTACTGATAACCATGAATAAAAGCCATACCCCACCTACCGTATCCGTAGGGTTAGGAGGTCCAATCTCACCACTACAGACCTCTGCAAGAAATGACGGTTACAGGACCAGGAAAACCATCGCAAGAACGCCTGGGAGAAGATAAGGAAAACACATTTTACACCACTGGCAGTGTGCAGTCTCCCGGCTCCAGCCCTTGGTAAACAGGGAGAACCTTTGTCTTGCCTCAGCCATCAAACTGGTGGCTCATCAGAATTGGGGCAACAAGAGTTTGTGCGAAATGGCTTGGCAGAGGTTAAACAAAGCAATGCAGCTCCGGCGTGGGGAGAGGGCTGAGCACGGTCGGCGTCTGAGATCCCAGACGGCGAGGTCTCGCAGCAGGCACCCGACCCCGGGACCCCGGGACAGGATGCCGCTGCGCGGGAAGGAGAAAGGGAATTAGAAGGTCCCACGCTCTCGGCAAGTTCCCGGGGCGCAGCCCGTCCGCAGGTTCCCTCGCGTGAGATCCAAAGCGGCGCACACCCAGCGCCGGTTCCTCGGGGAGGGTCCCTACCGTACCCGCGGGGACACCGCCCCAAAGTCCCCGGGGCGGCCACGCCGAGCCCACGTCCCCAGGGCAAGGGCAAGGTCGGGAATCCCGGGGCGTCGCGGGGGCGCAGCCTGGGGGATCGCGAGCGCAGGGGAGAAGCCCGCCCGCTGCCCCCATTGTCTGGCTCCGGCCGCGGGCCGACAGGGCGCTCACCTGAGTCTCCGCCTGGTGCCGTGGCTGGCGGAGCGACTGGACGGCGACCGGCGGTCCCGTGCGGGCGGCGGACGCGAGCGAGCCGGCGGCTGCCCCGCGGCACCGGCAGCCTCCACAGCAGCACCGGCAGCGCACCCGCCCATCAGGCGGCCGCGGCCTCCATTGCTCTCCCCGCCGCCGCCACCGCGCGGCACTGCGCGCCCAGCCCCGCGCGGCGTGGTCACGTGTCCCGCCGGCGCCTCGGGCGCTCGGACCCGCGCCGCCGCCCCGCCCGGCTTCGCCCCGAAGCGCCGGCAGCCGCCTGGCACTGGGCGCCCGAGCTCTCGCGCCCGCCGGGAAGGGCGCGCATCGGACAGCTCCCCTCCCTGGAGGTGCCCAGGCACCGCGAGCCGGCCGAGCGAAGGGCGTGGGATTGATGAAAGCCTTCCCGGCACTGCAGGGGATGGCTCGAGGGACCACCCAACGCCTGGGGTCTAAGGGTGCTGGCGGGGGGCGGGGGGGGCTCGCAGGGAGGCTCGAGTGGGGGCAGAACCCGGGACCGTCAGTCATGACCCCGCGACAGGCAAAGCCGCTCCCTGGTACCTGGGCGGGCCAGAGACTAATGGGAGCCACCGGGACTCCAGAGGGAGCTTCCCCCGCAGAGCCCCAGCAGTGAGAGCGAGCACTGGGACTCCTGGAAGTCAAACAAGTTGAAAGATGCCCCGCAGAAATAGAAAGGCTCAAAATTGCTTTGCTGAGCCTCTGTACATCAGAACAGAGTGACATTGACGTTGGGCATTATTGTCCCCAGCCATAATGAAATTAAAGATTGAGTTTGATATTTTAAGGAAAATATGTTAACTTTTCATTTTGTGGCCTAACTGGAAACACTAAGACTCTTTCTCCATACTTTTTGCTATGACTGTTTTCAATGGAACTCGGCAATCATTTTCTAGTGATCTTTTCCTTCACCATGCATGCAAAGATGCTAAAAGTAATTCAGTATCATTATTAGTCAGGAAATTGGAAACAAAGTAAAAAAATCCTCTGTGACAAAAGATGATAGGTCGGGCTTCCTGTTCAGCGGGGAAGCTGCTTCTCCCTCTTCCTCTGCCCCTCCTCCCTGCTAGGTGCTCTGTCTTTCTCTCTCTCTCTCTCTAATAAATAAATAAATAAAATCTTTAAAGATAACAGGTAACCCTCAGAGGTACTCAATATTCTTCCCATCGAGCAGAGAGCCTGATGCGGGGCTTGATCCCAGGACCCTGGGATGATGACCTGAGCCAAAGGCAGATGCCCAAGCACTGAGCCACCCAGGTGCCCCAAGAGTAAACTTTGATCCTGGGAGAACCTAGTGCATGTTGCTTTATCCAACTGGGGTTTTTTTTTTTTTTTTTAAGATTTTATTTATTTTTTTGACAGAGAGAGACACAGTCAGAGAGGGAACACAAGCAGGGGGAATGGGAGAGGGAGAAGCAGGCTTCCCACGGAGCAGGGAGCCCGATGCGGGACTCGATCCCAGGACCCCGGGATCATGACCTGAGCCGAAGGCAGACGCCCAACCGACTGAGCCATCCAGGCGCCCCCAACTGGGTTTTTTTTAAATAAATATTTTAATTACCAGCATAAAATATGGTTGTGTGTTTTTGTGAATATAGGTAAAATCCAGTTGTTCAGTGCTTGCATATTCTAATTGATGTCTGCTTTATTCCAAGTAAGCATAATGAAGAATTTTACAAGGGGCTGAGCAAGTGCCTTCTGATTTGAGAATCACTATATTGTACACCTGAAACTAACACTGTATGTTAACTATACTGGAATCGAAAAAAAAAAAAATCTTTCTGATTTGATCCAGTAGCACTAGGACTTCTCAGAGCCAAAAATTAAATCTGTGTAGGACATATAACAGATCTTTTTCTTGACATATTTAGTCTTGCCAACTACATGAAAACATACTCTATAAAAATTCAAATTTGCACTAATCAAGTGTAGATCTACTATCTTTTAAATTTGCAGGGCAAGATACCCCAAATTACACAGCCTTCAAATATTGAAAGAGTTCTAGAGAATTTAATGCTCATGATAGAGCCTTCTAGTTGGACTTTGTGTCTCAGGGGCCTCAGAAATCAGAAGCTATCGGGCACCACTTTTGACAGGTGCTTTTCTTTCCCTCACTTTTCAAACACATTGGCTCTTACTACTTTAGAGTAAGTAAACACTTACTTTACTGTAAGTAAAGCAAACCGGGTATCAGCCCATTATTCCACTTTTGAAATAACTGCCTTTCAGTTAAGATAGATTTTCAGAGACCATAATATAATACAAAAGATGAAGAACGTTAGGAATTTTTAAAAATATTTAACAACTCACTGTTGTATCGGGGGTGTGGAAAGGATGTGAGAAAGAGATGATATAGTTAAATCAGTAGTTCTCAATTGTGGGGAATTTTGCCCTCTGGGAGACATTTGGCAGTGTCTGGAGACATTTTTGGTTGTCACAACTGATTAGCAGGCACCACCACGGGCATCTAGTGGGGAGAGGCCAGAGATGCTGCAAACATCCTGCAATGCACAGGACAGCGCCCTTAACCACTCATTATCTAGTCCAAAATGTCAGTAGTGCCAAGGTTAAGAAACCCTCGGTTAGACCATGGACTCCCGACGCCTCTTGATTCTGTACTCCCGCATGCCTGCTTGTCAATCCTTTCCCTCTATACTAACATCGAATTTTCTTAGTGCTCAGTAAAGGAGTACAATAACAAAATCTTTCACTGTGTGGAGAGACTAATGAACTGAGTGGGACAAAAAATAATTGTGCAAACGAAAGTCATATGGATAATAAATAAAGACAAAAGATAGGAAAAAGCTAAGGTAGTAGAAATATTAGGGTGTAGGAGGATCTTAACTGTCCCTTGCAACTTTTTCAGAGCCCTCTTGTGTCTGCCCAATAGCCTTGACCTCCAAAGTGAGAAAATTGACGTGTATCATCATTTTGAAAGTTTCCGTTAATCAGGCATAAGGTAACTAATTACCTCCTGACCACTCCAGGGGATGAGCTGTTGTGAATATTCAGAATTTATTGTGAGCGAGGTGGGCTTATTTAAATGGCTCGGAGGGTAGGCAATAACTCCTGGGATGGGGTGGGAAATCAGAACGCTTATCCTATCCATTGTATTGACTTTCTGTCTCTCTGCATGGGTCTGTCATTCAACTAGACACTTCATCAAAACTGTAAAATGGGGATAACTGTTGTATCTCACATATCTAACATCTGAATAAAAAGTTATGAGGGTATTCGGGGCGCCTGGGTGGCTCAGTCGTTAAGCATCTGCCTTCGGCTCAGGTCATGATCCCAGGGTCCTGGGATTGAGCCCCGCATCAGGACCCCTGCTCCGCGGGAAGCCTGCTTCTCCCTCTTCCACTCCCCCTGCTTGGGTTCCCTCTCTCGCTGTGTTTCCCTCTCTGTCAAATAAATAAATAAAAATCTTTAAAAAAAAAAAAGGGCGCCTGGGTGGTTCAGTCGGTTAAGTGACTGCCTTCTGCTCAGGTCATGATCCTGGAGTCCCAGGATCAAGTCCCGCATTTGGCTCCCTGCTCGGCGGGGAGTCTGCTTCTCCCTCTGACCCTCCTCCCTCTCGTGCTCTCTGTCTCTCATTCTTTCTCTCACAAATAAATAAATAAAATCTTAAAAAAAAAAATCTTAAAAAAAAAAGTTATGAGGGTATCTAAAAATAAAGTAATAGGTGCGTATACTAGGCAAATATTAATTTTTAAAAAGCCATATGGGACACCTGGATATCCAGATGCAAAAGAATGAAGCTGGACAACTATCTCACAGCATTTACAAAAATTAATTCAAAATGGATCATAAACTTAAAGGTAAGAGTTAAATTATAGAACTCTTAGGAAAAAACATAAGAGTAAATTTTTACATCCCTGAGTCAGACAATAGTTTCTTAGATGACACCCAAAAGCACAAGCAACAACAAAAAAATAAAATTAAACTACATCAAAATTAAAAATTTTTGTGCTACAAATGATACCATCGAGAGAGTAAAAATATATTTGAAAATCATATGTCTGATAAAGGGACTTGTATACAGAACATATAAAGAACTCATACGACTCAATAATTAAAAAGGCAAACATCCAGGGGTGCCCGGGTGGCTTAGTCACTTTAGTGTCTGCCTTCAGCTCAGGGTGTGAGCCTGGGGTCCTGGGATTGAACCCCGTGTGGTGCTCCCTGCTCGCCGGAGAGTCTGCTTCTCCCTCTCCTTCTGCCCCTCCCCCTGCACTCTCTCTCTCTCAAATAAATAAATTAAAAATCTTTAAAAAAAAAAAAGGCAAACATCCTAATTTTAAAATGAGCAAAGGATCTAAATAGATATTTCTCCAATGAAGATACACAAATAACCAATAAGAAAATGAAAAGATGCTCAACACCATTAACTATCAGGCATATGCAAATCAAAATCACAATGAAATACCTATTAAGATAGCTATAATAAAAAATATAATAACGTGTTGGTGAGACTGTACAAAAATTGGAACCCTCATACATTGCTGGTGATGATGTAAGATGGTGCAGCCACTTTAGGAAACAATTGGCAGTTCCTTACAATGTTAAATATGGAGTTGTCATGTGGCCCAGCAATTCCACTCCAAAGTATACACTCAAGAGAAATGAAAACATATCCATACAAAACATGTACATGAATGTTTATGGCCGAAAAGTGGAAACAATCCAAATGTCCATCAACTGATGAATAGATCGAACAAAATGTGCTATTAGCCATACAATGGAATATTATTTGGCCATTAAAAGAAATGAAATACTGATACATGATACTGCATGGATGAACCCTGAAAACCTTATGCTAAGTAAAAGAAGCCAGACATAGAGGTCCACATATTGTATGATTCCATTTATACCAAATTAACCTGTATGACAGGTTAATCTATAGAGACAGTAATAGATTCATGGTTGGAGAAGGAAAGTTGGGGGGAAATGGTGAGTAACTCTTCGTATGAGGTTTCTTTGGGGGGTTGATGAAAATGTTCTAAAATTGATTGTGGTAAGGGTTGCACAGCTCTGTGAATATAATAAAAATCATTAAATCATACAATTTGGGTGGCTCAGGTGGTTAGGTGTCTGACTTCGGCTCAGGTCATGATCTCAGGTCCTGGGATCGAGTCTGACTTCAG